CCCAGATTTGGTTTCCTCATGGCGAGAAGGTCCCGAAAAGGTGAATAACTGAAAAACGAAATTCCGCCGAGCCGCTGCCTTCAAAGACAGTACAAATTTTAAACAAACGGCAGAAGGGGGAAGGGGGAGGAAGATATTCCAGGTTCCGATAAATCTGTTCTTCAAAGCAGTTCTTTTGCTTCAAAATAGGAAATGTTGCATGCGAAGTTGTCATTTTATGTTATTTTGTCCATCTAATCTTTCATCACCTTGTCCATTTTCCATGAAAAGCTGTGAATCCCGTTTGAGTTTTTGCACAGCCTTCAGGTTTGCTTAGAGCGACAGTTCTGAATTTTGAATTTTCGAAGTGCAGTCCATCTACAATACTTGATTTTTCAGAGCAGACGCGGATTCTTTTTGTTTCAGACGGGATCTCCCCCTCATTTAGTATTTGCTTGTTTATTATATACTGAGTTTTGATTTATGTAAGATGGGCGATCACTCAAAATAATCTTGTTCTGCCATATGAGCGCGTATGAAACTTGGCAAACAAATGAGATTAACAGTCTGCAGAAATTTTAGTCTTCAAACGAAAATTTGGTAAAAGTGAATAGCTAGTTTTCCGTATGATGCTCAAATGATGGGTGTAAGACACATCTAGCACTTGTTGTGTCCTTTTGAGGATATTTATGCGAATCTCGTTGTGTGCTAAAAAAAGTATGTCGTTCTCAGAAAATAAGCTTTAATGTCTAGCCAATATTGATCCTTGAGACTTGAGCCAAACATAAGCTTGTGCGCCATATAATACGTTGTGTAACACATAATGGCGCTAAGATCAAATTTAATGCGAGGTAGAACCAGTCAGTAATTTTGACATACTGCATGAACTTTTGTGTCTAACCTTGAAAAAAAAATTTGAAAATCATTGGATTGACCAACTTTGCTTGGTCTGATTAGGTTCACTTTTTGTTATTCAGAAATTCAAGTTAGCTCACAGTCTTCCCTCAAGTTGTATTGAAAGAGCGAAAAGAATGAAATTAGTCTAGTTCTTTCAGATACTCGCGAAGCCGCGACTATATCTACAACATTACTACAGTAGAAGCTCATGACCTGGATTTTGAAACCTCAGAGTAAAAGAACCCCACTTCTACTAATATTATCTAGACGTACATATAAAAATTGCAAAAGTAGTGGTACTTATAATTTTAAGGCAGCTGCCTTTTTATCTGTTAATTCAGTTTTAGCGTTGGGTCCATTAGCTTCAAAGAGTTCTAAGGGGACGGATACGTTTTTTC